CCCTGCCCAGGGGATCAGCCCCGCTCGGCCCCCCCAGCCGCCCCGCACCAGCCACAGGCTCCTGGCTCTGCCCAGGCATTGATAGGGCTAAGCCAGCTCCGTGCTGACAGCATCTGCACCAACATGTTTTCGGAATCCAAGGTTATAAATTACCTATAACCCCCGAATAAAACAGTTTAATGCAGACTGAAAAGCCTTAGCTATCACCTGAAACATGACCCCCAACAATCTGGGTGGAGGAGACCTTCCCTACGTAGAGGAGTTAGAAATGGTGAGCAGCTCCCCGGAGCACCGAGGTGAGCACGGGCAGTAGAGCTGTGTCCCCATCTCCTCTGCTTTAGCTGGGGAAACTGAGGCAGCTTCTACTGCCTGCCCTTTTTCTTTGCTTTATAAACAATCCCTGGTTTTAAAATAATTTCCAGCTTGGAAAGCAACAGAGCATCTAGAAAGCATTTTAAAATTTTGTAGGGTGAAGTTTGTCAGCCGAGGTGTAACACCATGCTTGTTCCAATGCCAACTGCCTCCAAGCCAGCACGGGGCAGAGTGCGGGCTTGGTGGTGAAGCGAGCTCCACGTGCTGTCCCCCCAAGCCGCTCGCAGCATTTGCATTCCTTAGGGCACCACCTGGGGATGAGAGGCCAGTGCTGTGTTGGTGGTGGAGGAGAGGACCGGCACGCAGAGGCTGCCCCACCGGCTGCGGCAGGGCAGGCAAGGAAAAAGCGTAGCTTAGAAACGTTCCTAGTTTTTGTGAGTTTGTATGGCAACACTAGTTAAACATAGATTTGTGTATTAACATACACAGTGTATATTATAAATTAATACATACCAGAGATATATCATAGTTATGGTATAGAGTGTTATTTCCCCAGCAGCGCGGGGGGCGGCCCTCCCCTCCCGCAACCATGGCAGGGCACTTTGTTGTTCAGCCCCGTGTGTTGAGCTGCAGCCTGCAACATGCTCTTGGGACAGAACAGGTCCAGGAGTCTGAGTGCTCCTGGCACCCCTCTCTCCTCCCCGGCAGCAGAGGAGCAGCTACTGTGGCATCCACCATCAGCTTGGGAGCAACGGGGATGACACAAAGCCACACAGCCAGCTGGCCAGCGTGATGCTCTGCTCCTGCACAGGCCAGCTCTTCTCCCAGCAGAGAATCGGAGCCGGCAATGGACATGCCTTGTTTTCCTCCAAGGATCACGCTTCAGCCCCGCTGCCGCAAGGCGAGCTCAGGAGTCCTGCCTCCTAGGTCCAAGAAGAAGCCAGCTCTTGCCTGGAAGGGAAAGCCAGAACCGCATCTGCTGTCTGTGAGGGAGGGGAGGTTTGGGGGCCTTGGTTAGAAAGTGTTTGCACCTCCGCCCCGCCAGCCGCAGGATGAGGGCTGACGCAGCCCGTGAAGGCAGAGGTGGCTCTGCCACAGGACAGCTGTGTTTTGGCACAGCCCCTGCACCCAGCCAGCGCTGCCACGGGGCCCGGCCCCACAGCACCAGGAATCGCGGCCCCACTGCAAGCCAGCCTGCTGCCTCCCGCCCCACAGCCCGCACAATATGTAAGGCAGCCAGAAGGTTTTAACCTAGCCTTGGAAATAAATTAGTTATTTTGTTGTTTTTTTTCTTTTTTTTAAATAAAAACACTTTATGGAAAGTGGCTATTTTTTAAAGTAGTTGGGTCAGTGAGGAGGAAGGAGGGTTGTTGTTGTATTCCGATATATGGGATTTATTGCTGTCCCTCAGCCCCGCACAGGGAGCCCTGTGGCCACCACGGCTTGTGCCTGCGTGGGGTGGGGGCCCAGAGCACCCACGCATGCCGTGGGGCCGGTCAGCGTGCCAGCACGGGAGAGCTCAGGCACGGTGGAGCCTCACCTCCTCAGTCCCGGGCTGTTCGACTTCCTTCACTGTCCAAGTCTTCATCTTCCTCTGTGCATAGCGCATCCTCATCCTCCTCTTCTTCCTCCTCCTTCTCCTCTTCCTCCTCCTCTCGAGCCAGCAGCTTCTTGAAGACCTCGTACTCCTCCGGGGTGGAGCGGGCCAGGCTGGCCAGGAAGTCTTTCTCCGGGAGCTGAAGGATGTCCTTCAGCTTCGGGTTGCCGGTTTGGGTCTGGCCTTTGTGCGGGGTCTGGTAGAGCCCCCGGCGCTCCAGGAAGACATGCCGGTTCCTGAGCTCGCCAAAGGGTACGCGGAAGAGACGGGCCTTCACCATCTCCTTCTGCT